TTTATTTTTCTCTCTCCTGGTTATTTTTTTCCTTACAATTTGTTACTATTTCTTTTTTAAAATTATTAAACTGGTTTTATCTCAGCCCACAAGTTTTCTCACTTCTGCAGTTTGCAGGGGGCTGGAGGGAGGGGGGCACATGGGGAATGAGTGAGCAGCTGTGTGGTGCTTAGTTGCCAGCTGGGGTTAAGCCATGACATCTGTGGACTGCTACTTGTAGATCCATAGCCAGTAAGTAGAAAAGCTAAGGTTCAATATGACTAAGCGCAGGTTCTGGAGGTAAGAAGTCTACATAGTGCAATTTATTTCTTTTTTTCTCTTGAGCTGCAACGTGTTATTATACAGGTGACAAACTTCAGGCCAATCTGGAGAAGGGTTCTGAGACAGCATGAAGAGCAGCGGGCCAGTCTCCCTTTACTGACTCCTTGTTCCATAACTCGCCTCTGCTCAGCCTTACAGCTGCCCAGAGTGAATGCTGTTGCTTGGAAGGGGAAGATGGTATGAGCAGGAAAGCAGATGTGGGATCCTGCCAGATTCTCTGTCATGTTTCTGCCAGTCTCCACAATTTGGGAACTAAACCAGCCTCCCCCTCTGTGCTCTGCCAAACACAGACTCTGTCCAGCCTGTTGCCAGAGGTGCTGTAGGCTCTGAACACCAGCGCTTGCAACGGAGCCCTTCAGAGGGAAAGGACTGTGGACACTACATGAGAGAGGCCAGAGGTGTTTTAGCAGAATGCAGCGTGCTGAATTCCCAGCAGCTGCTCTTCCAGGATGACAAGGGGCTATTACAAGGATTCAGCTACTAGAGGAATAAACAAGCAAAGTGTAGGTCCTAGTCCTTGTGGTCTGACAGAGGTGCTTACTGCTTGAAGGTGAAAAGAGGTAGTGGGGGCAGTGGGAAGCTGGTTTAGGTTTGTACAAGATGAGAGAATGAATATCAACAGGTAGTATCACAGAGCGAGAGAGCGCTGTGAAACTTCCCTTTGCTCATTGGCACACTTTGTTCTGTGTTTCTTACAGGAGTTTTCCTCATTTGGTTTCATCCCCTCAGTAACAAAATAGGGAAGAGCAACTGCAGCATAGGTGTCTGCTTTGAAAGACAGATGGGAGAAAAAGACCCTGAGGACCCTGGTGCGGGACTTGTGCCAACGTACAGGGAAGCATCTGAGGAGGAACTGGTCAACGGGTTGGAAGATGGCTTAGCAGCTGATGGGAGGGTCTTGTGTTGGAACTGCTGGGAAGACAAGACTTGGGATGCAGACCCCTGAAGAGCTCCGTGTGTGTGACAGATGAGGCCCACTTGTTTATTGCATCTCAAGAAACAAAGGAAGCCTCTTCCAGCTGCTGCTCAGGACATGCTGTAAGGTGAGCACGGCCGGAGGCATGGTGTCAGACAGAAAAGGCTTCTTCTGACCCCCAGAATTCTCCACGGAGGCACGCTCACCCCGGCAGGACAAGTTTCACAAGAGCTGTTCAAGGCCCCTTGGTATCTGCAAGGATTACAGTAAACCCTACCTAAAGCAGCCCTGGTTTGCTTTTCAGCTGTCTGTGTAGTTTGGGAGAGGAGCTCGAGGCTAGTGTGAGCCCTGGAAGCCTGTCTCCTCCTCCGCTTCCTGTCCTGATCTCCACATCTTTCCCTCTCCTTTCTTGTCCTCCTGATCTTCTCCTCCTGCTAGTTCTTCTGTCTCTCCAGCCAGCACTGTAGCTGACTAGCTGGTGCTAAGTGCTTTGGGCTGGTATTTCATTGATTCCCAAGCTCTTTTCAGCCCTTCAGAAAACTGAGACCTTGACAAGCTTGCCAGGAGCCAAGGCCGACCACATCTAGAAAGCACGAGCAGCTGGACGGCTTAATTTAACCACATCATCTCAGAACCTGGACACAGAGTGCCACAGAGAAGTGTCAGACGAATCTGTCCATGCTCAGTGACACAGGCTATAAGTTATGGCTCAGGACTACTGATAGACTATCAGAAACACTTCATCCCAACCCAACTAATCAGCAGAGGAATTCAGATGCAAATTTCTGTGTCAACTTGCTGTTATTCATGCTGATGTAAATCCAGAAGAATTCTATTTATGTCAGTGTATTTTCTTTCTCTGCAATATTACTCCTTTTTCAATATGGCTACAAGCAAATAGAATTGTATTACAGAGACACTTGTGCAGAGCAGAGAAACAGACTTGGTTACAGTCAGCAGGAAACAACTTCTGGTGCTGCTGGGCATCCTCAGCTCTCATTGGCTGCGGAACAGTAAAAGGATATTTTGCTCCTGGCCTGGCTGCTCTTTCAGTAGTCTCCGTCCAGCTGAGTAAGCGTAACTATCCAGTCACAGGGCTGGAAATCTTTCAGAAATTTCTCTGATTTATGTGACTCTGCACCTTGTTCACTCTACATGGTTATTTGTGGTTGTTCCACACCTCGTGCTTCACAGTGAATCAGTGTTAATGGTAGTGACTCAAGATCTGCATTTTACTCTCACTTTTGCCATACTTTAACAAGCAGACATGTAAGAGTCATTATTTATAGCGGATTTAGGATGTAGGAGAAGCAGGTTTTGGCTGTATTGTAAGTTAAAACTGCTGAGTATTAATGTGCCAGGAGGGAAGAATTGTAAGCTGCAGGAGGTGACACTGGCTATTCGTGCAGACTGCCGCACAAGTCAGCAGGGTTACTACAGGGAACTGCAGGTCTGCAGCAGTGAGTGCAAAAACAGGATCAGTCCTGCTGTCTTTCTGCATTTCACAAGTACTTATTACAGATGCATCCATAATGGTAGTTTTGTGGTAGTCCTCTTGGCATTCCTTTTCTTCCTCTTGAAGACACCTGCCTAGTGTGTATCAGAGTGCCTAAAGTGAGGAAACCATTCTGTCCAAAGCTTATATGCAACTCTATGGGGTTTGCGTGGCTAGGTTTTGGTAGCAGGGCGGGGGCTACAGGGTGGCTTCTGTGAGAAGCTGCCAGAAGCTTCCCCCATGTCCAACAAAGCCAATGCCAGCCAGCTCCAAGATGGACCTGCTGCTGGCCTAGCCCAAGCCCATCAGTGACAGTGGTAGCACCTCTGGGATAACATATTTAAGAAGAGGGAAAAAAACCAGCACCGGAACAGCAGTGGAGAGAGGAGTGAGAATATGTGAGAGAAACAACCCTGCAGACACCAAGCTCAGTGAAGAAGGAGGGGGAGGAGGTGCTCCAGGCGCCGCAGCAGAGATTCCCCTGCAGCCCATGGGGAAGACCATGGTGAGGAAGGCTGTCCCCCTGCAGTCCAGAGTGGAGCAGATCTCCACCTGCTGCCCAGAGAGGACCCCATGCTGGAGCAGGGGGATGCCTGAAGGAGGCTGTGACCCTGTGGGAAGCCTGTGCTGGAGCAGGCTCCTGGCAGGACCTGCAGATCTGTGGAGAGAGGAGCCCACGCTGGAGCAGGTTTGCTGGCAGGACTTGTGACCCCGTGGGGCACCCACGCTGGAGCAGTCTGCTCCTGAAGGACTGCAGCCTGTGGAAGGGACCCATGCTGCAGCAGCACTTGAAGAACAGCAGCCTGTGGGAAGGACCCACGTTTTCCCGAGTTGAGTCAGTTTTGCCTGTGATGGTCATTGGCGAGTGATCTCTCCCTGTCCTTATCTTGACCCACAAGCCTTTTGTTATATTTTCTCTCCCCTGTCCAGCGGAGGAGGGGAGTGATAGAGCGGCTTTGGTGGGCACCTGGTGTCCAGCCAGTATCAACCCACCACAGCAACACAGATAAAAGGGTTGAATACATGTATATCTTTAATAAAGAGTTAAATCATTTTATATAGATATGTGGATTCTTCAAAGTGCCACCACCTTAGTCTATGTTCTCCAGACCCTGAAAAAGAAAAAGTTACAGCTGTATCTGCATCACTCTTGACTCTAACTGGCAAGAGGGCATAGCTGAAAATGCAGGTTCTCAAACTCTGCTTAAGTACCCGACTCCTAATTAAAAAAAATAAAATTAAAATGCGCATCCCCACTGGCAGGCCAGCTGCAAGTACAGAGGGAGCTCCACCAGCCCCAAGAATGACCAGTGCCCGTCTCAGAAGCCGTGGGAGCCCCCAGCCCGGGGATGTGGGGAGCAGTGCGTGGCTCCTGCTTCCCTCCCTCCCTCCCAGCGGTACCAGCCCGAAGCCCCCGGCACCTGCCTTGGAGACGTAGTACTTGTTGACGCCCGACACCCGCCTGTCTCTTTCCATCAGGGTCCACTGGTAGGGATAGCGGGCGATCCTCTTCTCCTGTGGGCACCCGCACTGCTGCCTGTTACGGCCCGTGGGGAAGAGGGGTCCCGGGAGAAGGGAAGGGGGCCCGGGAGGGAAGGGGGACCCCGGGATGGAAGGGATCTAGGGGGAGGGGGGACCCCGGGAGGGAAGGGATCCCAGTGGGAAGAGACCTAGGGGGAAGGGGGACCCCGGGAGGGAAGGGATCCCAGTGGGAAGAGACCTAGGGGGAAGGGGGACCCCGGGAGGGAAGGGATCCCAGTGGGAAGGGGAGGCCCGGGGGGGAAGCGGAGCCCCGGGATCCCGACCCGCGGGCAAGGCCGCCGGTAAGGGGGAGACTGGGGGGGGGGGCGAGGGCGGCCCGGTCGGCCCCGCCCCGCTCTGACCTTGCCGCCGTTGCACCAGCGGTGCATGTAGACGGTGGAGAGGCCGGGGATGCTGAGGCAGATGCCCATGATGGCCATGCCGGGCAGGATCTCGTACCACATCCCGCCGGTACCGCGCCGACCCTCACGGCCTGCCCCGGGCTCGCTGCGGACACTCCCGGCCTGCCCCGCGCCCCTTCCCGGCCTGCCCCGCGCC